TTCATTCTATTACCAAAACAAAGCTTTCAAAACAAGCTGTTTGGCAGCTATTAAATACGGCAATTAATAATTAACTAAACAATCGACATACGCACCACAACACGATTTTAAATTAAAAATACTCGCATCTTTTCATCACGTCTCACAATTAATCAATTCCAAAAGTAGAACAGTGTTCATATTTTAACAGACCCAAACTATCAATCGCTCTTTGTGTGGGTCTAACTGGCGACGGTAACAGGGATGCCAACCGTATTGCAATCATCGTACAACTACAATATTTTTGGCCTTTGGAAAAGAAAACTTTTATCGTCATAGAAATACGTACGAGGTTTTGATCCGATGTAAGTATAAGGTTCGAGAGTCAAATTGAACTAAATTGGAAGACTTTATTTTTTCGAACGAGGCCACGTGTTTTAAGGTTGGCAACCCTGGTCGGCACTCTTATATGCTTACCAGAAAATATGGTAGCCCCCGTCATAACAAACATTATTCAGAAAGTGTGTTTCCATTTATTTTTATAATACACCCACGTTTAAAACTACCGCGTGTGATCACAGTGGCTACGTAGGTTTCGTGAGACTTTCGTGTAGTATACAATGATTTCATTTTATGTTTATGAAAACAAATATGAGATGCGGTTACCGTATAGTTATGTTGCTTTAGCGACAGCAAATATTACACATCCTAATATTGTTAGCGAAATATTTACTTTACATGTAGTCCGTTACATTTTATATAGTAACGCGCAAGTAACAAACATTAAAAATATCATTAATATTAACCAGTCTTGGTCATATTATGGTAAACGTTAATAAACTATGTTGACGTAACAGTATGTGAAAAATAAACAATTTGAAACGTTTAGTACGTTTGCTAAAGCTATCTCCGCTCCGCGCCTTAAACGTTTAAATGTCAACATTGTATTATGCTTTCGAGTGTCACTACATTACTAACGACTTTATTGTTGTCACAACGTATTGGACACTACAATACCATAGATTTCATTTTTAGATTCATGATAAAGTACACGCTTTCACAAACTATCTTTAATAACAACAATTAAATAAAACTTTCAATTTCTAGAGATTCTCTGACGGGCTAAAAATTCATTCTCAAAAGATATATTTATATAGAAAATACATATTTTAAGATACGTAGTTTAATGTTTTCAAATAACGTCAAAAATATTTTAATTGCAACATACGTTTCTGTTGCGTCTTTCATTTTTTTTTCAATAGCATAGAATAGCAATCTTTTTATTGGAATAAAATTAAATTTGAACAGTATTGTATAGTCAAAGTTATCTTTTTTAACCTACCGCTCAATCGGAAAGCTGTCTCATAATAAGAAGAACGAGCAAGAAACTTGCATGTTGCTCTCTTGAATAATTGTTGAAACTTTACATTTTTACATATATTATTTAAGGAAATTAAAACCTTTATGTTATTATCGGCTTACGATAAAAAAATATAACATTGCAATACTTTGTATTGTGGAAAATGAATATATAAAAGAATATTTTATTCATTGCTTTCTAAACTTACACATTTTTTACTTATAAGGAACTCCAGAAAAGATTGTTTTATTCCACTTGTAATCTATACCCATAGGTACATATTGCGGTAATGAGTAAAATTACATGTCTAATATTTATTACCACTTCTACTAACTAAACCTACTACGACTAAACCCCTCACACTGAAAGTGCATTGTTTATAAAGATTTTTTTCCAGTTAACCGCCTTGTCATCTCTCAAGTGGTTATAAATTATAAACTTAACCTTGGCCACGTTTGTTTTAGTTAAATGTTTCTTACAAGCACATGTGTATCGTGAGAACCCTTTTAATAGTCCAATAGGTTATTTATATGAACCTTGAACCTTCGTTGTTTAAACAAATAAAATGGAAAATAGAAATAAACTCAATATGAGATTATATTTAACCCTTCGATAATACTTCTATTCTATTTTAATTATTAAATTGATTTAGACTTAAATAATTTAAGTAGACATCATTATAATTTTTACTGATAGTGTAAATGTCAATGTATGGGAATATGTTTACTAATTTGTTACATCGTATTTCCAAGACTTCAACTTCAAAACTTATAAACAGATAATATTGTAAATAGAGTTGAACAAAAATTACTTTTTATCCCAATGAATCAATATATCTTCATCAATGACAAAAGTCGCAGATAGAAGTCAGCAGTAGGTATAATAAAATTAAAATAAAAACAATTATTTACTATTCCATTTTACATCCCCTATAAAAAAGTGATTTTATTAAAAAATCAAATCCACTATGTACAGATGTATAATGTACCCATGTATGATTTAAATAATTTGACTTATTTGTAACAAATGAGAACTCATTATCATTACGTATTGTAATAGCTAACTATTAGTTAGCTATTATAATACGTAATATAATGAATAATGTTATTATTTATTTAATTTGGAATATTTGTTTACTATTTACCCATTCCGCTTGAGATTTATAGGTATAGTGTAGTTTCCCTTTGCAACATTTTGCTCCATAAAACAGTGTCATATCCGTTATCATTATGGCATTTCTCAGTTTATTGGTTGTCTCATAATCCGACTATATTTATAACATGTGTCGGGGATATCTTATCTTAGCTGCAACCGCATCTTGTTAGAGAATTTTATCAGCATCTTATGAGAGTCGACAATGTCATTATATTTATATTATTTCTTTTTATTATTGTTATCTACCGAATGCGATACGTTTTATAATATAATACGATTATCCGCGACTTCGCTTGTAAAAACTTTAATTCTGTATTTCACGCTTGCAAGACTTTATTGGTAATTAATTTATAAGATATAATATAGTCAATATCCGTGCTCGTTATAAATATTTATCTAGCTTCATTTAAAACTTTAGGCATCAAGCAGGTGCTATACTTTTATAATATTATGTATGAATTGAGATAACCATATCGTGAATGAACGAAAGGCCAGTCCTTTTATTGTACTATCTATCATATATTGTACTAGCTGTGCCGAGGTATTAAATTTATAGCCTATGTGATATTCTGGTGTGGCTATATTTCTGTAAAACTTTATTAAAATCCGTTCAGTAGTTTTGCGCGAAACAGTAATAAACGTCTATCTATCCATATTTCCAATATTTCGCGTTTATAATATTAATAAATTGAAATGTCTATGTCTATATATTTCTAATTGATCGTCGGTTTAAATAGTTTACGTTAGTATAGATTACAAAGGTTAGGTTATATATTGTTAGTAGCTTACTAATAACAACATTTATTTTGTTTAAAAATATTTTTTGTACTTTGTGAATGATTTTTAAATATTTAAGGGTCATATTCTTATGTCAGCAATTTTATCTACATATTTTTCTCACTAGTTAAAGCTTATACAAACAAAATCACCCACTCAACAATAGCGGAAGTTCACGTCAAGAGCATTTGAAATAAAATTTCAACCAGTCAAGTGTTCGGCCAGGGTCATACATGATCATAGAACCGTACCGAACCAATCATCTTATAGAAAAGGGGTTATTGTATTATCAAATAAGTACAATAACAACGTATTACCCGCACTATTTGAATCTAAACAGCTTATGCTAAACAAATTTCATCCTAAACTTTGATGTAGTGGGGTTTAATTTTAAAAACTTATATTTTGTGCTTAACGCATATCATTTTACTCGAGTATTTGTTACCAATCAGTAAGTATAATTTTTATTGGATCAATGAACGAACTGTCAATATTAATTATTGGAATTCTGTCACTTATTATACTGATATTGGAAAACAAACCAAGATGTTTTGTTTTCATGCTTGTTAACACGGAGCTGAGACAGCGAGCGATCATATGTATTTTTGCATTTATCATACTCGCATTAATTTAGTTCTACATTTATTCAGATTACTGATATATGGCTACATACTAATACTATAAATGCAAAATTCTGTCTGTTTGTTACCTATTCACGACCAAGCGGCTGAATGGATCATAATGGAATTTAATATAAACATTATAATTATTATTAATCTGTTTATATTAAATTCTAATATTAATATGTTTATATTCATCACCATCTTTATAAATAAAACAGTTTTACATTATGATATTACGGCAAACCACACACTAGACATGCAAATCTGTATCGTGATTTTAGGTAAATATATCACGAACATATCAAGAACAGAGACTATATTTTTATCTCAAAAAATAATCTGTTATAAAAACCAACACCGTTAGCAGCTAGTAAAACATAAAACACGAATACATTAGTTTTGTTACGGACATGATAAAAATATTCATGTTCAATTAATAGAATTATCATATTGCATATTTCACGGCAGAGCTACAAACAAAACTGTATTTCAGCATTCTAAATTCGAAGACAACATTTTAAAATAAGATAAAATAACAAACTTTTCATAACGAGTGTATAAAGTTTATTTTGGAACGGAACATTGGTCAGATTCCCAAATTTCATCGAGCAATAACCGAGACAAGTTAAGTGTTCAAAATGTTGATTTGACAGATGTTTACGGTGGCGACGCTGATAATCCAAATAAATATTTTCGAGATGTTTACATTATTTCGAGAGTTGGGTTACTGTCTGAGAACATGTCACTCATAAACTTGTTTATAGTTTGTGTATAATTACACTGTGAATATTTACATAAAAATATTCACTGTGCATCACTATAATACAGGTTTATATAAACTGAAAAGGATAAGGCTTCTGCACTTTATGTTTTGAAATACGTCATGGCTAGATGTGGTAGTCAGAGATCTTGTTAACTATCTCTATTGTGGTGAACGCAATTCAATATCTTCACATTCAGCTTGGTATATTTGAGTCTAATCCAGTCTTGGTAACGAGACAAATGCTATATAGTATTAAAAAGTAAATAAGCTAATATATATGTATTAATAAGTGAATATATGTATATATTATGGATACTCACAATCAATTTTCTTGTTTTTGTAGATGAAAAGAAAACGGGAACGCTATGGGAAAGTGCTTCAAGATCTATCAAGACTTACTAACATCACACTGAAAATGTGGTAGAAGACGACCGAAATGGAAATTTTGGGAGTGGTGACGTCATTGTTGAGCATACTTTGCTGTTGTTATATAGGTAAGTGAAATTATAGTTTAGGAATAAGATAAGCTCCTATAGTAATGTAGTTTATATATACATATATTATAATAAATATGCAACGAGGTCCATGATATATGTCTCAAAAAAGTTGTCTCGATTACCATAAATACCAATACATTATTACAGTAGTAAATAAAAGCCTAAATGTATCCTTCTCTCATAGACATATAAAGGCCTTAGTTACAAATATAACTTAGTTATAAATAACAGTATAACAAGCTTAGAAATATTTCAGTTCGTAGTAGTATTTTATTTATCAACAGGAACCTCACTTTATTGCGAGATATTAGGAGATCAATCAACACTACAAGAGCCTCTTGTAGTATTGATTGAAGTCAAGATGTAGACTTACAGGTACAATTAATGATAAAAAGTTATTATTCATTAATCAACAATCTTCACACGCTATACAAAGAAATGTATGTATATGAATACACTAAACAGATGCTATAAACTATAAATAATTCGCTTGAGAAATCCGTAGGAAATGCCACAGTTTTATGTCAACTGCCGCAACGTCAATCTTGATATTTGGAACGTAAAATTTATGTGATATCATAATATTATGTCTTTTATGGTTACAACCGCTGTGGCTAACCATATGTCGCTATTTTCCGATATTTTTAGTCTTGCATATTTGATTACTACTCACGAAAGAAACAAAGGTAGTGTGGAACTGTCTTAAATTTTCGATCATTCGTAATTACGTATTCGTAATTCGTAAAATACGTAAATATATTTATTGATTAGTAAGAAAAACGAAGCTCCGTTGAAAGATGAAATTACGAGGATGGAATAAAGCTTATGTTGTGTCTAACTATTTGTTAATTAAGGATTATAATAACTATATTGAAATAAACAAAACTATCCATATGATCTTATTTTGAAAATATTCTTTCACTCTGCTATGAAATAAAGATATGCCAATCTTTCTAATACTGGCCTAAAAATAATACTGTAGCAATAAATGAAAAATTGCTTTAGAGCAACTTAATTAGCGTCACTGTAAGAAACTTACTTATTTCTTAGAGCAATAAAATATAAAAATAAACGGTTTAGTTGAAAGTTCAACCAGTGCTAATAGCTTGGCATTCACCCTCTATGGGGTAACATTCCCCTACACTATTTGATATTTAGTGCCTTGCGGTACCATCTTAGATTTGTGGTAACACTTAGCGACGCCGAAAATAACCGTGTCGTTCGTGCAATATTTCTCCAATTTGTTATTGCTCGGAAAAAGATAGGGACCATTTGGAAAATTAATTATCTAAGTAAATTTGATTTCATAAATAACATAATTATACAATCCATAAATAAAATATATCTACTACTTTTTAACAAATCTTCTCTGCTATCTGTTATGTATACATACTACAACATATTTCTTTTGTAAGAAAACTTTAGTATTTTGTTAACTAAGCAATGTTCTTCATAAAATTAAATCGACATAAATGTTAAAAGATTCATTAAATTACTTTAGTATTAGCAAATTGTATAAAACATATAGTAATAAATAATCAACTTCTGTAAAAAATCGGATGAAAAATACACTACGTTTAACGACTCTCCTGGGTGCATTTAATGGAGGAAAGCGTAACTTATTGACACTACTCATTAGGATAACAAAACACACATGCGTAAATAAGTCTCACAGCTGTCTATTGCATATATTTTATAATCAACCGAACATGGGGCAGCCTACAAAAATGCCGGCTCTGGATAACCTCAGCCCTACAGCGGGAGTGTCACCGTCATTCAATAATTTTATACTGTGGTTCGATATAAAAAAAGACCGGGCACCCCAGGCGGTTATCAAAGCGTAAAGAAGTTAAGCTAATGTTAAACGACGCCTATCTTTTGTGCCTAATGCGTGATGGATGCTGCGTAAAATGCAGTATAAAAAGTATAATAAAAATAAACAGAGTCAATCGCTCGGGACGATTTACAATGGGCACATAGCATAGTGCGAGTCATTGTATTCAAGGAGGAATTGAAAAATGGTTCCTATCTCGAATCTTGGTTTAAACAAAACTGTGACTTTTATGAATATTGACGCATATGTGACCCCTATAAAGAATAAGGACATTTATGCTTTTGAAATAAATATAAAACGTGTAATTTAATGTTTTGTTGAGAATAACTGTAGCGGAAATACCTACCAAGTTTTTCATATCAATGGTATTTGTACAACGCAATTTAGCCTACAAGTATTCTTCGTTTACTAGTGTTCATTATTTCTCACAGAATTAACTACTGATATTTATAATTAGCCGGGTACATTTCATGACTTCTGATGAAGGATTGCTGATCCTGTCTGCGCTAATGAGGTATACTGACAGGGCAGTAGTGATGCATGAAAGGATAAGGATAATATCAGGGCACTTAGATCATCGTATAACGACGGTTTCTATGGTGGTTCCCATCAGGGCTAGTCTGATTAAGTACATGTCTACCCATAGGTGCAAATTATGACATTACCTGTATGTTGCCTATTTACAACTGCGAGTAATAAATATCATCCAGTATCATTTAAAACTACCACACTTCGGCAATATTTGCCGAAAATTGTGTATCAGCAAATATTCCAACATATTGTTAATGTGTACGGAAGGTGATCTTTCTAACTATATACTAAAACAAAAAACTTAGTAATTTATACAACATAATAATGTGGAAAATGTATTAAATTTAATTTCTTTAACCTCCCAATTCTTGGAACAAAATAGGTAGATATAGACGTCGCCTCACATGTAATAATCAGCAATGTTATCGAGGCGGGGAATCGCCATTTTTTTTGTACGTTGAAATCGTCTCAAACGATCTCCGATCAGATAGCTTTCAGTTTATAAACTAAAGTTTTTTTATACTGCCCCTGTGTTGCGATGCCTTATTATTAGCGACAGCATGACGTAACAACGCACAAAAAATGCGAATATTTTTCATGAATATATTCTTTTCATTCAATCTCTAGTAATTACGTTTACTCGATAATCAAAGTCTGCTATTCAGTTAGTCAAGAATATAGGTAAGTAATATTACTATTGCACTATGCCGTAAGTAAATTGCAGTAAATAAATTGAATTGAATTGAATTGCCGTCTATTATTTTTTTGTAGTTTAGAGAGACCTACAATACTATTTATTTTTATAATATAATAAGCTGAAATTGGGCACATATATTAATTTAAAAACATAGACCATGTTCAAATACAAGGATACTACTACACAAAGTACAAAGGTATCATAGTTTCATCATTTATATAATTGTATATGCATATTGATAAATCTAATCCTCCAAATAAAGATGGGTGACACTGCATGTTGTCAACTCACCCGGCCGGCCAGCGGTGGTTCTGGGCCAGACGGATAAGGTCTGCCTCGGTGTCACTGTTAGGTAAATTGTAACATCTCGGCTGGAGTTGTACAAAAGTGGAAATTAAATAAATATTATAATATTAAAGTGAATTAAAAAAGGCACGGACGAATATGTCTGTGGAAAATTGTATTTAAATATAAAAAAAAAAAAAAGGTATCATAGTATAGTTGTTATTACATCTGTCCACGCGCCGACCGGATTGATTGCAACAACAAGCCGAAAAAGAAACGTCACAACTGTCGCCGACGCGTTTCCGTAAACTCCAAAGGAGAAATGGCTACAATTCACAATAACCAACATATTTTACATTATGCAACAATATATAAAAAACTATAAACTTTAAGTCCAAGACACACAGTTGAAAATTATAATTCTCAATGTTTCTCATAGGCGAAAGAAGTTGGTTACTATCGCATGAATGTGCCTTGGTGCCCCCATTTTAGCAGGTACGTCGGACCCTATGAAAGATGACACTGTGTCAACAATTTGTCCCTTCGTGCATTAGACGAACGCCTTACAACACAAACATTGTATCACGAAATTCATATTAACCTAATCCGTGCGTCCGTTGCAACTAAAACGGCTAATTCTTAGCACATGTGCGAGGAGTGTGTTCTGTTTTTTGCACTTAAAGACATTATATTAAGTGCTATTTCATGAACCATGACATTTTATTGCCTGTTTACTTCTCGTGCACCGTTTGAACTGCTGTTTGTAAATAATGAAGCGCGAGTCTCTCGCGTAAGTGTGAAGTATGTATGGAATACCGGTCGTAAGCTAGCCTGCGTCTATATGTTGTTTTGGTTTCATCAAATCAGCCATCTAATCTCTTATAAAATAAATCTGTAAAATATTATCAATCACTGAAATCAAATCTATTCGAAGAAGATGGATTTTCAATAAGCAATATCTCAGCCTAATCGGAAGCTCTGCAGTATGGGCCGCATTACGTGATTAATTGGCGAACGTTAAACTATCGAATAAACCATACTAGTTATATAAAACGTAGACTACGACTTTTTCTAAACACAAATATTTATAGTAAACATATAAAACATTTTTTTACATATTGAATCAACTCGTAGTATGCAATTTATTTTTGTACATTGACATTGGCCAATTAACTCAAAAATGTCGCAAACTAGACGAGAAGTAATAACTTCATAGGGTTCAAATTACAAAGGGGTCCCAAAATTGAACACGTGTTCGAAATTCGGAAAATCATGATTACCTCCTGAGGGAGCCAATCACGGCCATTAGAATTAGATATTCGAAATTTAAACAGCTATCCAGTTACATGGGGTGACAGTTATGAGCGCTAGAAAATGTTGTGCACCTACGTGTGTACCTAATTAGAAGTGACATTTAACATTTTTATTTATATTAAAACGTACGTATATTTGTGATCAAAGAAATTCGCGTGACATACTTCGTTTGATCTTCAGTCATATTGCACTAACAGGGCGAGTGAAACTTTTAAAATTATTTGAAAAATCAAAGAGAGCGCCACTTAACACAGTCATAAACCTAAATATGTGGGCGAAGTAAGTGCATTCGAATGTTCGCCTGGTTTCATTGATTATTTGGGCTATCCACTTCAAACAAAAAACGCAGCCAGAATTGCAACATTTTAAAGATTCGCTCTGCTGTGTAGTCGTACAAACTTAAATGGGAATCCCATGTCTCTATAACCGATTTTTTATTTATTTTTTCTTGGGACGCGTGTCAACATGTGCCGCTAGTATAAATTGGCTAGGGATTGAACGCACCCTAGCAATTTTTTTAACAGAAATCTTTGAACAATAGAGCATAACTACTCGCGTAGGTTAACATTCACTCCCTATCGGCGCGCTGGCGTGGGTGAATACGACTTTCCCAGCATCACTATGGTTTAATTTAGTTGATTTCGTTCATCTTAGTTATTATTATAATTGCGACTATAATTATCATTTATGTACGTAATGAAAGCAACAAACAGTGTCATAAATGATGTTAATTATTTAAATAATGTTCATGTTACTCTTTAAATGCATTGTCATATGAGTACTAAACTTTTTTGTCATTTTGTTAGGTAAAAATACAACAAAATATACTTTATGTTTCCTACTTCATACATAGTTTTTTTAGGTTCGTAATAAAAAAGGCAAGCGGATCCAAGATGATACAATGAATAACAATGATTTAAAAATTATATCTTAAGGATACCCTTATGGTATTATATATATTATAAATATAAATAATTTTATCGATTTGGAACCATTTATTTACGTTTTTCCTTTTATTCGAAATAAAAAAAAATTGGTCATCTAAAATGATGTATAAATTTCGTAAAATGATGTGTAAATTTTAAATTGCGTAAAATTTATTCTATAATCCTTACTTTTAAGTTGTTAAAAGTATATTGCTTCTGTATCTGTAAAATATATGCGATGTTCGTATTTCAAGTAAAACCAAGTATCAACATATTATATTATTCATAAAAATTTATATTTATATTGGTATAAAATGAATACCATATGCTATAATAAATAGAAAGAATTTAACATTATTCATCGCATAACCGATAATCGATCGAGTTCTATCGCACTATACGATAAACTTAGTTTTATGTGCGATAAAGTAACGTAACGAGATCAACATAAACAATATTTTATGTTCCTTGCAATCTGCTAAATCTTATTTTTATCTCTCGTTTGGTCAGTATTTATATTAAACATATATACTGATCCTTTATGATCTCGACACGCAATTTATTGCTGTCAACCCAATCTTTTGTATGGCCAGAATTTTTTTCTCTTTTGAAGTTAGGAATTTATGTAACGCATTTTAATTTTGATATCTGCCTATATATTCACACGAACGTTCCGTGCTAAATCTATGACAGGAAATAATAATAAATCATTTCAGTACGGATTAGAATGGAAATATTTTTTTTTATAAACTTTGTATCTAACATTTCATTCATCAACTTCAAAATGGAAACCTTTTCTGTTACAGGTAACTTTACAGGATGTAAAGATACAGTTTTCAAACTATATCTTTACATCCTCTAAATCCTTGATTTTTTTATAATAATATTTATATTTCCTACAATTTTTCAAGTCCACGAATCGATTTTTTAATGATTCTTCTGCATGTCGGTATAGTTTCATAATAAGTTTGTTATTATTGAAGTATATTATTATGATTTTGTACTTCGATGTACGGTGGCATTCAAATTTGCAAGCGGCCCATATGACCATATTTGATCGTAATAAAAAATACCTTTCTCCATCTCAGATACTACGTATTTGTCATATTACATGTTGATTGATCGAACTTAAGAGGTGAAAGTATAAAAATATCCACTTATGGAAGTATAAATAATAATAATAATAATAAACCATTACTGGAAGTAAAGTAGTGTGCTATACTACTAGATCACTGTTTACCGACCATTAGTTACCGAACATCAGTCAAATATGCAACACCATGTTTATACCAATATTATAAATACAACAATCTACTGTCTATAAAATTGTAAATAATTTTTATTTCACCAGAATTGTACATGTTCATAGATATTAAATGTAACATTTTCATAAACAATTGCGATTGTGTGAGCCAGGGAACTGAAATAGGAATGAGGTCTACCTCTGTCATCTATGACACATTACATTTTTATCACTAAACGGTTAAATGAAACGTGATAAATTTAGACAATAGATCACATTGCCGAACATATTTTGTCTTATAAAAAAGCAGACAATGTCGCGGGTAAGCGCTAGTACATTATATATCAGTATAAAATTAGACATTAAAATATAAAAGCTTGCCTAATACATATAGATATTGAACAAAAATAGGGGTTTGCGCACAAAAATCAAACATTATCATATCGAATGGAGATTCAATTATAGATTAGCCCATGTATCGTACCGCATTCACAATATCGGGACACGTGAATAAATAAACACAATTACATCATACAAAAGAGTAATCCCTATTGATTTCGTTCACAAAACAACCATGTCTCTAAAAAGCGAGTCGCATAACGTTCGATGAAGTTCATTTCTCCGAAAATCGGACACCGAATCGAATTTTTTTTCGATTATCGATTTTTGCGTCGCAACAATAACAGTGAGGCACAACAATAGGCATACATCAATTCGAGTGTCAAAAACTAACATCTGCGCGTTCGTTGTAAACAGAGTAAAATAGTGCAGGGGTCCAAACGATACAGCATCCTCTGGGGGACCCCTTCAGCAAGCCTGTGTTTATGGCTCATTATTATTGTGCGCCGCTTTAGAGTAGCTGCAAATGACATACTCCACCTATTATTAAAATAAACCGTTGCCTAGCCCGGTCTTTGTTAGGTAAATTTAAAATAAAGCTTGTCGGAAATTACAGTGGGTGAAACACGTCGCCTTTTATTAAAGTGGACCTAACACGCTACCACTCAAACTTTCAAGAGTTTACAAAGTAACCAATACGGCGACATATGATTTTTATAGTTCACGTCATGCAGTTTGCTACCCCGACTGACCAAAAATAAAGACATGCGTTCGAATCAGGCTGACGCCAAAAAAAATTTTTTATACTTGAGAACTTAGGTAGACTTTCTAAAAAATCATCTGCGTGTATTTATTTCAATACCAAAAGTTTGCTTTGTAAGTCATAATTCAGTTGAACATCATAACCACTTAACGTTGGGTGGGCCGTTAGCTTATTTACTATTTTAATTACTAAAAAAACTGATTGACAACAGTCCGTTGATTGTAACCAAGCACTGCCACTGTGGAATCAAATGTACCTATCGAAATTTTTGCGTTCTTCTCAGTAGAAGAGTATATTACGGTTTCGTAAGGGTCGGCAACGCGCACATAACAACCCTGGTGTTTCAGGTGTCCATAGGCTACAGTAACCATTTACCATCAGATGGGCCGTATGCTTGTTTGCCACCATAGTAGTATAAACACAAAAGTTCACTTTTTTCCTCAAGATTCTGACTAATCGGGAATATGAGTCATGAAGGTTTATATATGATTTGCTTCAACAGGTCCAGCACAGGGGGGACTAAACGATGATTATACGGGTGGTGGCGAGGCTCCTTATATTATTGAACAACCGTTAGACGTCACTGTAGCCCGTCATCAGCCAGCTACTCTGAACTGCCGCGCTGGCGGCTCACCGAGTCCTTCTATAAGATGGTACAAAGGAGGAGTACTTGTGGTATCTGATACTCACAGAAGCCTGTTGCCGGCTGGTGGATTGTTCTTTCTAAGAGCAACACATGGTCGAGCTCATTCTGATGCTGGAGTGTATTGGTGTGAAGCAACCAATCCATATGGCACAGCGAGGAGTAGAAATGCAACTTTACATGTAGCAGGTAAATTTAATGTTGTTAAAAATATATTAGATAATAGGTTTCCTATGGAAATAAAATAAATAGAACTTTTTATTTCTATTATGCAATTAAATTAAATCCATAACCGTTTGTAAAAACTTTTATAGAAGAATTACCACTAAAATAATACAATTTTATATATTTTATAACTTTTTAAATCTTGTTTACGTTACTGAATAAATTATAGCATATTAGAGAGTCATATGCTATAATAATAATAGTATGTTGCAAAAAACCAATTATTCAGCATTATATAAAGGGATCAATGTACAATGTTTTTAAACATGTTTCAATATGACAATTGATTTTTATCTGCGAATATTTCAGAGAATAAGGCTCTTATTCTAATAGTTTTACCAGTTTATCTAGACATAAAAATTAATGGTATCTGATACTTCATATTCATATGAGAATTATTCTCATTTTATTCTTCTCTTTTTAATATCTACGTATAATAAGTGATATTTTTTGTTTGTCAGTGCTTCGGGAAGATTTTAGATTAGAGCCAATTACTACACAAACGGCACAAGGCGAAACTGTGATATTGGAGTGTACTCCACCACGAGGGTCACCAGAACCAGCTGTTTATTGGAAAAAGAATGGGCAGACACTACACTTTGATGGTGACTCCAGGTAAGCACTGTTCATAGTTATTTTATTATATATCACTATTATAGGATTTTTACGTACCATATTAATAGAAACGGCATAGACCTGCCTCCGTTTCGTAGGTGCAAAAAGTATACAAATATTTTTTATCTTTCTTCCTTTGTGGACTCCCGAGATACATACATGTTCGCCTAGTGCGGGGCCAATGTATTACACTAACTTGTATCTCCCATTTAATACTTAAACATAATTATAGTAAATTTTAGTCCTTAATATGGGTTTGATTATTGTAGTTCAATAGGGATTTTAATTTTAGATAGTGTTACTATAAAAAATCAGTATATATTATAAAAGTCAGTATACAAACATGGCATTTAAATGTTACTTTTTGTTTAAGTTTAAATTATATATATATTCACGGAAATGATATTCATAGGTAACTTTTAAACAAAACATCAGTAGTTAGTAGTAAGTAAATTTGAGAGTAGTGTTAGAGTAGTAGTCAAGAGCTCTTATGGCAAGTGGAAGGTAGTAATTGTATAGTCTTGTGACGCTACGATATACCTTTGATATTGGATCTGTACAACAGAGTGTAAATTGCGTACATGTTGTTATAAAACCCAGAATATTCATTTTCTAATCTTCAATTATAGCATCTATTAGCTTAACAATACTTATAATTTAATATTTTATTAACATATTCTATGTATTATGTTTTTATTAAATATCAGAACAATATAGTTTGTTATTACAATATTATATGATTGTTCAAAGGTTGAGCATATCGGTTTCTGTGTTGATTATCGCATGCCTAATCCTTGTTAATGTGTAAATATTATATAATATAAGACAGAAAATGATAATATAGGCTGAGAATACGTAAATATTAAACACTGTTTATTTTTTAAAAATTAATTTATAGCATAAATGTAATTTAAAAATCCGGCTGCTATAACAAGAGAATAATATTATTAATGGTAACTATATAACTCAAAATATAAAGGCACTATTAATGGTTTATTAAAACTCATTCATTCAATTAAATAAATATTATACTATATTATCTGTTTGTTTATTTTATGCACAGCTATTTCGATAAGAAGTGATACCAGGATTCAAATCAAATTAAATCTAAAATTATTTATTCATGTAGGACGTTTTAGCCGCTTATCAAGGACGTCAAGATTTTTGTATTATTACTGTTTATTAAATCTATATATACTGTTACTTTCAGTATATATAGATTTAATACATTTTCACTTAGTAATAATGGACAAATAAATAATTATTCGTCTATATTATGAATACAGTTTAAGTCCCTTCCTTAGCCGCATACTATGTAATAATAGATTATTATTACATTTATATTGAAAAATAATTATATACAGTTTTATAAGTTTATGCCTATTATGCCTAGCCTATGATTGGAAGGGGTATAATTATTATACGAATATATATATATAGGAATCTTTTTTTAATAATCCTCAGCCTAAGGTTACTCGTCCATAATCTAACCTTCTATACTTAAAAACTTCTATAAGTTGAAAACCCATTATTTTTGAGTTTATTTGATTTCAACGATATAAAAAAGGGTTAGATTTGAAAGTTAATTTTTTATTTTTTTATTTAAAATCAATAATTGTGTAAGAAAGTGAATGAAATTGATTTTGCCTTTAAAGTTATATTGGCAATTTATTTCACTTTGTTCTCTATGAATTTTTATGAGCTTCGGGTGACATCTTGAGGGAGCATGTTGCTCTGTATGGTGAAGCATAAAAATAATTAACAGTCATGGGGAGGGTACATCAAAGTTATAAAGAAGAGGGGATGTTAGAAGTGCTCCGCAAGCAATCAAGTAAAAATCTGAATAGTTCTGACTCATCGGACCCCATATTAAATGTTAATTTTCTATTGAATTACTCCGCCCAATGTTTGAATGACTTTGTTACATGAGTTACAAAGCAACTATTTCAGTTATTAATTTCAAAGTACTTAATGTCAAATTTAGACTTATTTAAATGATTTTTTATTATCGTTCCTGTGCAATATTTATGTAATACTCTAATATTCTTATATGTACTCGTAATAGTATCATTAATACTGTCATGAGTATATATAAGAATAGCATAGTCATAAAATATCTATATATAAAACTATTCGATTATTTAAAAATCATTTTTATACTTATTTACGAAATAGTAGTAAATAATGTGTAGTCTATATTTTAACGAATTATTATGCTGTTATTCAGGATGCATTTAGTAGATGGAGGCAGCCTTGTAATACAAGACGCAAGGCAAACCGACGCTGGTAGATATCAATGCATTGCAAGGAATGCAGCTGGCAAGAGAGAATCTGCTATTGCCACGCTCAAAATACACAGTGAGTTTCCCGGTTCACATGAATGCATTTCATACCCTGAATTTCCATTTCAATTATTTGACAGAGATTTGTCGTATGCCATTCATATTTGAGCGTAAAGCTCTATTAATTTCTGACGATAATTTCGCTCTGAAGTCTTAGCCAATTATCTGTGACGGATCTTTGTGTTATTATTCAACGAGATATTTCTTGCAGTTAAGCCGTACTTAATCACGGGGCCTGAGGACGTCGTAGCACAAACTGGGGGTAGTGTAACGTTCCAATGTCGAGTGGGTGGTGATCCATTACCTGATGTGCTGTGGCGAAGAACTGCTGGAGGTGGAAATATGCCACTGGGTCGCGTTAAAGTGCTGGACGATAGAAGTCTTAGGCTCGATAACGTGATTTTAGCAGACGAAGGGGAATATACATGTGAAGCTGATAATTCTGTGGGGGCTGTAAGCGCCAGTGGATATTTAACGGTATATGGTAAGTAACTTAATTTATACAAATTCAATTTTATTTGCGACTTTCAACGCTTGATCATGATCAAGCGGTATAAATATTAATACATAACATTCTCCATCCCAAGCGCTACTTATATAAAATAAAATATTGATTTGTTAAGCGTCAAATTAAAACAAACTGACACTCTTATTTTCATTTATAATGTTAGATGATTAATACACTTCTTTATTTTTTAAGTGCCAGTGTTTTATCTTGTCAATTTTTCTTTTAGATCCCCCGTCAATTACATTAGAACCAAATAATATAAATGTTGAAAGTGGTTCAGTGGTAAAATTTACATGCAAATCTTCTGGGAGACCAGAACCTACTATGTTCTGGAGTTTGGAAGGAAATAGAACAATAATATTCCCTGGTACATCCAAAGATAAATATCATGCTTCGCTAGTACTTGATGGAGTTACTATATTAACAATCAACGACACGAATAAAAATGACAGTGGAAACACGATAGTTTGTTCTGCGGTAAACTTTGCCGGCAGTTCGTTTGCCAGAGGGAAACTAAGCGTGACGTCAGACGATGACCGCCCACCGCCAATCATAACAAATGGTCCCTCTAACCAAACGTTACCTTTAAAATCGATGGCGGTATTCCCCTGCACTGCTGTCGGTACACCTGAACCAATTATTGCTTGGTATTTCGAAGGGGAAGCATTAACACAAAATCATAAAAGAAATATCTCTAATGATGGAACTCTAATATTGAAAGATTTAGATAAAAGTGACAGCGGCACATATACGTGTGTTGCCTCGTCTCAACATGGAAAATATGTTTGGAGTGGGGTTTTGCTCGTAGATAGTCCGATGAATCCAAATATCCATTTCTTTCGAGCTGCTGATGCCTCAGCTTTACCAGGACCGCCAACAAAGCCTCAACTTAATAACATTACTGACACTAGTGTAACGTTATCTTGGAATCAGAACAACAAAATTGGATCTTCTTCTATCTTAGGTTATCAAATAGAAGTGTTTCCTAGGGAAACACTATCAGGAAATAGCACTCCCAGAAATTCTCGTGGATGGATAGTAATAGCCAAACGAGTTCATAAAACTCAATATGTTGCAAAATCACTTATACCTGGAGTAACCTACATGTTCATAGTAAGGGCTGAAAATTCTCATGGACTGTCTGGACCGAGTCCTATATCTGATTCCATAACTATGGGTGAAGACACAAACTCTATGTGGGAAACTGGTATGTTTTCTAATAATACAGAGTTTAGAAATAATATTTTGACAGATAATATCGTTGAGTTAATAGAAGCAACACCAATTGATGCTAAAACAATAAAGTTAATGTGGGAAATATTGAACTTTTACTACTTGGAAGGATTATTTATATATTTTAGACCTCTGGATAATATTACGACCGAATACGAAATGAAAACTATTCTGCATTCCAATGATGTATCCGGATATGAAATAACTTCTTTGAGAAAATACACAAAATACGAGTTTTTCCTTATACCCTTTTATAAGAGATTTGAGGGAAAACCGTCCAATTCTAGGATGGCACAAACTTTAGATGACGGTAAATATATAATATTATTTATTACTTTATTTATATGAATAATATATGTTATTATTAATTTATAACAACTATAATTTTTGTTACAGCTCCTGATGGGCCTCCAATAAATATAGAAATGTTTATTTTTAATACTACAACAGTGCATTTAAAATGGTCACCACCAGAATTATATTTACAAAATGGTGTAATAACTGGTTACAATGTTATAGTAAACTGGCTAGACATTCCGGCTAATAAATCTATGGTAGCTATTAATACTACCGTCCACCAGGCAACGAGTCTTATTATGACAAATTTGACGTCAGGGGTCAGCTATTCAGTCCAAATTGCTGCAGAAACTATTGTTGGATTGGGACCATTTAGTCAGAAAGTATATTTCAATATAGATTCTCGGTCTGTAGGATTAGATCCTTTATCAAGGTAAATGAGATTAAAACGTTGATTATATTAAAATATATATATTTTTATCTTAGAATACTAAACTTATTTTTCCTTTTAGATACCCCATAAATGGAGAGGTTTCAATAGTTGCAGGAGACTTTATGATGGAAACATGGTTTTATATTTTGATTGGCGCAATTATATTATTCAAGATAATAGTTATTAGTGGCATTATATATATACGACGGAACAACATTTTTGCAAAAAAATCTGCGCTTCCGAATATTTATGGTAAGCAAAAATTCTAATATTTATTATCATCATAAGATATTTAATATCATTAACCATAATAGTAATATATACATGTATGTATGTAGTAGGCAATTAACTCAATAGAAACGAAATATTTTTTCAATAAAAAGTACATACATATAATCTGAAATCTAAACATAGACATTTGACTTATCTCAAATGCTTACATTTTTTCTGTGGAATCACCATCAGAATTTCAAAATTAAAAACATTCCTCGGGTGTCGTAGGGTGGTATGGGGCGCGGAACGTTTGTTTGATGGAGGCTTTGCCATGCGATGGGCGGGAGGGGCGCTAGATTACTTTCGAGTTGAAAGGTAGCACGAGCCCTCTCTAGTGAGCGCAGTGGATCTCTTTCACTTTGCATTCACGTTCTGGGTACAAAGGAATGATACAAATCCGAGAAATAAAGACCCAGTAAATGTAAATGTTTTCTATTTTGTTTTCTCGAGTCGATTCGTTTGTTGACTCACCCAGTTACCTTTAAGCCAATTTCGTTCGCTTTGTTTGCACTGTTCCCCATTTACATCTCTTAAGCCTTCGGTAAACGAAATAATTTGCATGCGATTTATGAAATTGATACAAATTATTGATGTCAAGTCTTATAGATTTTATTCATAAGTATATTTATTTTTGTTAAAGATTCAAATGGAACCAGCTTAGTGACCCAAATGAATATAAAAGCTGCAGTGTCTTTATCACATCCACTTACTAGTTGTTATAATAAAAACACTGTAACCAAGACTGAGTCATTGCTCTGGATGGAAAATCAGCCAGGGTTGTGTATGACTACTAATCAAAATAATCAAAGCAAAGAAAAAGTAAATTCTGAATATGACAAAGTCACTCAACAATTACCCGAGTATGCAGAAGTGACTTCTTCAAGAGCTAATCCAAATGAATGGAATACGAGCAAGACAGCAAACTCTCCGGCTGCCTATGCTTCTGTAACACTAGTCGCTAATACAAGGCAGTGTGTTAGCTCATTGGTAAGCATATTGTTACTAGATATAATTATATGAGCCAATTTTATCCTTAAAGCGTTAAATTAATGTGTTACTCCACAATATCATGTTGACTTTTCTCGTAAAATATGTTTCATATATGCTTAGAACTAAGAAATGCACTACATATATCATCTTCAAAACTTAATATATTTTCTTTCATTATGTCATTATTTCAAATATGAATTTCACTTACAAAGTTTTAGTAACTTTTTTCTCCTTATTAGGGTTGGTTCCCGCCTGGAAGTAAAAATGTAGATTCTTACGATAACCGGTACGCCCCAGAAGAGGAAATGTATCCAGCCAGTAATGGAGGATATTATAATCGAAACGTTTATAGTGAGAAATACTTCCAAGGTCATCCTAATATATTGAAGTTTTACGACTTACCGTCAATGGATAAACCGCAAAAGGCACAGTTAAGATACAACCAGAGTTTAGACGACAGAAAAGGAGATAAAACGAAGACTGACGCAACTCAGTCCTTAATAGGTAGAACATATGGAATTAATTCACGAAAAAATTCAGAGACTGAAACAACTTATAGAGCATTTGGAGGAGATGAGTCTGATGATGAAAATTATACAGAAGATGGAGGTTATGATGAGCTGCAAGCAATGCAGCCTCAGAGACAAAGACCGCAGCATCAGTACGAAAGGCCTAATTTTGACAACGATGGTACTCGGACGCTGGCTAGGCTGACATCGTTCAGACATGGGCAGGGGGTCCTTTCTACACAGTCATCACTTGCACCGTCGCATCCCCCACCAGCGCCACATCCCCGGGTCGATTCCGTAACCCGGTAGTATCACGCCTTGCCGGTTTTCGGCGACCTGTGCCAAACGGATGTATAGACCTATATTTTTCTTATAAGTGTAGTGACGTCACTATGAGAGATCGCAGTTCTTCCTCACGTTGTACAGTTTTCGGTGTATATTCGTGTAAAGAACTTTTCCTTTATTTGACAGTGGAGTTTGTTTTGAATTTTTTTAAGACTCTTTTGGCTTGTATAGGCCAGTGTTATTTTGGAAACGGTTACTAATGTGTAAAAATTAGGCCTAATGGTTAAAACTACGCCTGTTGACGTGGTGAACATTAAACAGTTTAATTTAATACATTCTTTTTGTACTTTCTAACTATTCCTAGTCTTTGTATAGTATATTAATTGTAAATAAATTGTATCATATGTATTAATTAAATTGATAGAATATCGAATCTCATTGGAAATGGTAATGTTAATCCAAATCAATGTTTATAATGTTATTATTGGATTTAATAGAATTCAATTGATATGTCCGTCTGAATATCAATAAACGAATTTGTAACCATAATATCATTAGTCTAAGTATAAGTAAAAATAGAAACTGGAACAAATTAACGCTTGGCAATAATTTGAAATAACTTACATTAAATATCAACGTAGAATTGTACATAATCTTAATAACATAAAAATATAAAAATAGCGGTGAACTCCTTTCGTAGAATTTTGAGTTTTCGATTATATTTACAAGTATGTAACTTTTATTTATTTTAATTTAATTATTGTAATATAATGTCTTCAGGTTATATTAATTTAGTTTTAATTTAATGTGCCATAAAAATATTTTATATATCTAGTTTAGTAACATTGGAGTTGTGAAATTTAATTCAAATGATGCTTTTACAAAATCTAAAGTTATAATCTACGTAATATAATGTGATATGAGTTGAATATAGCCACTTGTTATGACGTCTAAATAGCACATCTTATATAATGGCATATCATCTGTATTAGGCATATATTAGATAAAAAAATGTTAATAACGGACGATTTCATAACTGTTGACAATCTACTGAAATATACTATATAAAAAAAGTTACTTGCATAGAACGTCAACAATTCCCAAATTATACATGATATGCAATAAATGTGAAAATTGTAAAAAAACCGATAAATGATACAGAACCCATTTTACATTATCAAAAATTATTATTAAAATTGTGATGTAATCAAATGTTTACCTTCTCCCTTACACTATATTTTTGTATATCATCTACATTTTATTAATCAGTTTATTCTATTACTTAACAGTTATGCAATCGTCCCAGATTTTTTATTTTGTATATATACATATATATTCTAAGATGATGTTAATTGCCTTTTTATACTCCAACTATCGTACTGATCTACTTATGTTTCAATACTCTTACTATAAATTATTGTTTAAATAAATGGATACCTTGCTTTGCTATAGGTACATAAATAATGTATCATATATAGTAGACACTAGGTATTTGCAAGTGATTGCTTTCAATAAAACCAAAATAATTTCTATAGTTCCTATTCGCACTTTATTATGCAAATAGTAGGTACTTTAAAAGCTATGTTATTCGCAATAAAATTGACTGGGAAATTATAAGTCTCATTTATATGTATTACAGGTAATTTACTGCGATATTTGCAGTGAAGTGCTGAATTTATTATTAATATACATATTTTAGTGTTGATATGGCAAAACTGCACTGCATAGTGAATATAAAGTTTATAGTTTATGTATGCCCACTTGCATGTCTAGTTTTTTTTTAACATTAATAACCACGGCAAGGTGTCTTTGATTTTAATATAAATAGAACGGATTTTATGTCTCATCATTATAATAGTGAATTACTATTTTTGAGTGCAGGCGACAAACAAAGGTTGGAAATTTCAAAACAGCAAATAGAATCTGAGGATTTTAATTTTTGTATTAGTCCTTGAATACCTATTTTTTAATAAAATAATTTAAATTACAAATGACTTTTATTGAATAGCCTAAATGACATCTGCAAACACTTATTCTCACTTGTGATATATAATAATTAGAAAAATAAAATTTTGAAACTTCAAATTAAACAATATTTACAATATGTAATATTATTCGATAAAAAACTATTTACATACATATCTGAAAGAATTCGTCTATACAATTACGGTCACATGTGTATATGTCATAAATAATACTCTTATCAGGTATAGCCGTGTGCATACACACCCCTTTGGTTTACTAAAATTTAATTATAAACATTTGCAGAAATGAATAGTCCAAACAGACAAAAGGTTAATAGACAGCTGGAGGCACACTAAGAGCGGACCAGCCGGTAATAATGACAATTGTTAACACCGCTCGCATTCAATTTACGTGGTAACAATTCATAAACCAAATCTGAGGCCTACACTCGCTATAAGCACATTATTGGCGGGTGTTTAGCATCGGCTTGTGGCCAGCCTGCCGTCTGTATCCGCCTGATAACTGAACTTCCAACCCACATTAACGACATACTACCAGCTGTAAATGGAATTACCTACGCTTTGTCTTTTTCATCAACGTCAACGAATATAAGAGATAATAATATGTTACTTGTCAATATTAATAGAAAGAGGTAAAGTTTGTGAATTTTCTCTTGTCTTTAAGTGATATTTGTTGTAATCTCCAGTACTATTAATAAAGATTTTTAAATTGTGTTGGATACCTATTTATTCAGAATAGATATGGGCTATATGTCATCAAGCTACCGTCAAAAGAAACTGAGCAGTAATTAACCCTCTTGGACTTACATTTGCTCAACCAATCAATATATCACAGAACTGATAACCTCCTCCTACTTTAAAATAATTTAAAAATAACTCAATAGGTCTAAAATACATTTAATGCCCAACAGCGCAATGCTACAAAAAAGTGGTATATACGAAAACGAACAAAAATCGGTTAAGCTCGTATTCGCGCAGCGATAAACTTTCTACCCGAAGTGAACGTATGAAAGCACGCGAAGTTTCTCTCTATTTTGCATATTTCTACAATAGACGCGGATACAGTACGGCGTGCGAGTGTGGGGCACGCTCGCGATCGCCCCGGGTATCGTTTTAATTTTCCGCCAGTCTGAAAATTTACACGATCTGAATGAACCATCTATTTTAATGAACTTTAAAATTTAACTGATCAACGACCCCGCCAGAGAGCGGGTCACGGGAATGACTCTCAGTGCGACAGTTTAAAAAAGTTTCCTCAATGAGATGAAAAAAATAAATTTCGACATTTCGTCTACTTTTATTATATCTATAGCAGTATCGCAATGAATGAACAGTATTTACAAGTTTATACATCTTTGTAATAAATTGATAATTAGGAAAATATTCATAATATTGGTTACATCTCCCCTCAAAGACGTTCATTACAAGATGTTCATTACAATACATTTTATTCCTATTTCTTAAAAAGGAAACAGAATCGTAATCGTATTCAGCAATTAGTTTGAACTAGTCTAACAGCTGAATGTTTACATTTAAAAGCCATAATGTAACCAATATTGTGGCTTTTTATATAATTGATATAAGATACAAGCTGACGGCGCACCTGGTGGTAAGTGAATGACCTTCGCCTATATACATGAACTGCACTAATATACATGAACTATACTACGGATATCATGTGACACTCACGATATCGCAAACGCTTTCCATTCCGAAGGTATTAGATGTCGTACCTATCCTGTAGCGAAACACAGCTTGCTTCAATCTGCTTGGCAGCTGAAATAGGTGATACTGAAGTACCCAAGAATATTAATTTTAAATATATGCATATATTTTTATATGATATATATTTTGCTTCTCAACACTATTTTTTCCTTTAATTACATTTTTCGACTTCAAGAGATGAATAGGAGTGATGACAATCTTATTTCATTACGACACCAGCAAACAGATATCAAAAATATATTTATTTATAGTTGGTTTGTTATAATACTGGAACAAACATTCTTATGAATACAAAAGTTTGCTCCGTGCGAGTTAACGAACCCGCGGCCATCAATCAACAGTATCCTAAACCGCTAGACTACCGAGTTCGTGAATGAATATATATATATACGTAGGTAGGTAGGCAAACCAGTAGAAAAATTCAAATGCACCGGGTACCTTTATCAAGAGCCCATTTCACCGTCCACTCAAAACCGATGACGGATGTAATCCAATTAGAGGTTAATTGTTAAATTAAGTTGTGTCACCGGCTCGCCGTTCGTTGCGTGGAGGGTTTTATTTTGCTTGAAATATGATTTCGAAGGGAAGGTGCGGTGTTTCACGTCAATTACGGTAATGGAAAACGTTTGTGATTAGCTCGGCATGGTTTTGAGTGGTTAGGTATTGGTTTCTAGATTAACGGAGTTTCTATTAATATTTATGCGCTGCCTACGCTTAAATTGCCTAACTTTTATATATGTACAATGCCAAAAATTTAAACGCTCACTACAGTACGCAATAGTGGGATACATAGGATGTTACCAAATTATTTCAATCCATTATACATTTACTTACATGTATTTACTATGGTAATAATTAAATTTCACGTTCCTAAGGTCATTATTTATTTCATATATTTTTTTAATATACGCAAAAAAAATGTTTTGTGTGTTAACTATTGCCAGTAAGCTACTGCCTGGTAGGTAGTACAATACATACGTGAACTTAATTATATATATGCATGACTGTATAAGTGCACCAAAAAATTAATCTTTTGAAACAACTTTTATTAATGAACAATAAATTACATAAATATACGGACACTATGCCTTGCCTGTCTAATACATTTTTTTCAATTGAAATTACCGATTGTAATCGTCACATCATGTTGTCTGTTTGATTCAAGATCGATTGTGTGCGTAGTTGTTTGTTCATGTTTATGTATGTAATGACTATTATCACATACCATCAGTTGGGCCATCAACTTGTTTGTTATTCCAGTATATAGAAATGTCCAATTAAAATGTATCCGTTTAATTACTTCTGGAAGTGGAACTCTTATAATCATAGCATTAAGGTTTCAAATCGATAAATTTACTGGAAATTATTTACGCAAAATAACATTACATAATCATATATGAAATCTACTTATAATATAGAAAACGACGGCGATAATATACGGTCGCCCTTTAGCCCAAAGTGCCCTTAATACTGTGCTTAAGTGGGCGAGGTTCAGAGATGTTCAGAGGCTTTTCAGGCCCAACACTTCTAAGCCTTTTAATATCGCACCCTCCATGCTCTGCTCTTATCGGATCTCTTACATAAAGTTACCTTTTTAATAGCATTTGCAGCTAAAACCGCTAACCACGACTTTTATATGCATTCGGAGGTTTTATGGTGGGTTATTTAATGATATGGGAATATTAAACTTTATTGCGTACAAATAAGTGTGTTTATAAAAACATTAACTTATGGTGTGCCAGAATAGAAGCAAGTTGTCTGTGCTTTCCATCTATTCCGTCATGTACTTGAGCGTTTATTTTCTTAAATTCTTTTTTTTTGTACTTTAAAAACCGACTGCTATAAGGAGGAGGATTTTAATTCAGCGAGATAAAGTAATTTAATAAAGTGATTTTTACTTTATTTCAAAGGCATTAATAGATTTCGATGATTCCTTTAGAAATCATTAAAGTTTTACTTTAAAAGTAATTTTACGAGTTTTACAATTCCCTTGGGTGCTCATGAGCGGCGGTAAACTTACCATCAGGTAAGCCACATGGTCGTTTGTCCCATGTGCTATAAAAAAAAAACAGAGGTAGTAATAAGTGTAAAAAGTCGTCTGTATCGTACCTTAGTCTCACCTTTTCAGCCATCAAGCTGCTTACCTTCTAAGTTGAGTTTCGGTTGTAGTGCAGAGTAACCAGTGAAATTACGGGTTAAGGGGTATGACATCTTAATCCTCTTGAATGTCAAAAGTATAAGTGGTATCACGGGTGTAACATGATAATCTTATTTCCTTAGTGCTATTTATATATCTATATAGGCGACGGTTACTGCTTCCATCAAATGAGCTGTCAGTTTGTTTTCAATTCGAATAACATAAAAATATAGTTACTACAATATCGAATTAATATTTTACACCTTATTTATTTAATCTATGCCATAGCGTATTAAAGTTCAACTTGGTGTACTAACTTCGTGTAACAAAACACAACTCACGCCTGCATCACGCGATAAAGTCATCACGACATACGTGATTCGACTTAATTCACTTAATTCATACTTCGGGGTCATTGCCAACTATAGCGTTCTTACATAGAAGCAGTGACAATTGCCTAAATTTAATTAAACCAACTGCATCCAACCCTTTAAACGGGACGGTACGAAATGGGCTCTTATTTCGAATCGGCCGGCACATGGGGTCTCAATTTTGTAATTTTATTAATGATGTAATAACAGTTCTGTCAGTCGCATGTGTGTGCCCATGAGCGATAGTGAAGTCGTTAGTTCGGGCTGGTAATATTGGAGGGTTAAATCGGATCTATCAGTGAAACTAGTACATATTCCATAAAATCAAATTCATGTAATAAATATTGTTTCCAACCCGTTTTTCATGGTATTCAATTTTAGCAAACGAGTTAGCAAAGTATTTCAGCATCCGTACTAATATTAAATGCAAAAGTATGTCTTTGTGACTGTCTGTCTGTTTCTTACATTTTTAAGATTAAATGGCTATAATTATCCTAATGATATTAGATATGAAGCTAGATTCCCATCACAAAGACCTACACAGGCTATATTTTATATAAAAACAGAAAGGGCGAAATAAGAGCTAATTTCTTAGTTCAGTTTGTGTTGATAAAATTGCTCTTAAACAGCTTAGTATTATAAATATGAAAGTGTGTGAATGACTTTGGAAGTCGTAGAAGAGTTTTCCCGGCTGAACGGATCTTAATGAAAATTCATATGTAAATAGAATAT